TGATCATTTATAAATAGGTCTCCAAGAAATGATAATGTGAGAACTAACTAAAGGTTATTGTTATGAAGGTAAATCTCAGTATTTCCGAAATTTTAGTAAAAGTAAACAATGTTAATATAAAAAAATCGGAAGTGCTGCTAATAATTAACACTGAATAAATTTAAATTTACAATTATATTTTTAACCAAAACTGGCTTTTGAATGTTAATTTGTTTCAAAAAAGATAAATCAATTTCTAATTATTCTCCTCCGCCATCTGGAATTTTATAATCTCATAAAAAATTTTACTTATGTTTTGATTAAGATTTTTGATATGCGAACAGAAAAGTGCCAGACCAATTGAATTAAATTATAATTTAACTAACAATTTAAAATTTGCTAGGTTTTCTAAGTGTTTTTGCCCACGGTTGTGAGGTAAGAGATTATCACCAGCACAGAAGAAATTCAAAGTATCTATTTCATGGTGCCAACTATGATCCATTCTTGGATCGTGATTTTGATGGAAGAAGAGACAGAAATGGAAAGTACAGATATGATTCACGTTATTATAACGATAGAAATGATTATCAAGATGAATATTATGACAGGCAGCATAAGAGTCACGGAAGGTAAATATATCTTGCTTTTGTTCAAATTGAAGTTGCTTTTATTTTTAATGTGAATTTGTAAAGTAATGTAAATAAGTTTATTCAAAAGAAGTGACGTGAAGCTATTCTTGAATAAACAATTAATATTCCACTTTGTTATATTTATATACTATTAAAGTTTATAATAAACTAGTTGGTATTGGTATTTTGCCTTGAGGCAAGTTACATGAACTTCCCGATATGTGTAAATAATCGACTTAATCAATAATTTTTATTGTATTTTCTAAAAGCAAATTTTCAAAAATCAATAATTTTTCAATTGAACCAGTTTCCATAGGACTTTGATTTATTACGTTTATTAAATACTCTATCGTTATACCAAGTGAATCGTCTAATTTTAATTTTAACAAACGTCAAAAAAAACTACTCATTTTCTCAAACTTTGATGAATTATTAAAATTGAACTATTTGTTGTAAGGCCCTAATAATTCAGTAAGTTCTATAAGACCATGGTATATATCGCCAAAAAAATATCCATAAAAATTGGTTTAAATTTTTTATCAACAGTTAATTACAAGAAAACGGCTCGGTAGAGTTTTACCAAAAACTAATCAGTATCATTTGCAAGTAATACCTTTCGAACAGTTTTTGATTTTTGAAAATCGAGCTTATGATGAGATTTTATGATTTTTGAAAATCGAGCGTATGAGCTTAAATGTGGACGAAAAGTTTAACACTTTCTTCCAAACAAAGAAACGGCTCGGCCGATCGTCGCACAAAACTGACAAGCGATAGTCCTCATTGAGACACATCAAATGATTTTTAAATTTCTGAAATCGGTTCAAGCGTTTTTGAGTAATCATCGATGAAAGGTCTAATATTGACAAATGCCAAAAAACGATACTAATTTTTGCAAACTTTTGCGAATTTTTAAAGCTAAACGAGTTGTCGTAGGGCCGTAATATTTTAGTATGATCTAGAAGACTATGGTATCTACAGTCAAAAAAATAATAATAAAAATCGTCGAAAAAAAAAAATTTAACACTTTATTACAAGAAAACGGCCCGGCCGATCTCTACTAAAAACTCATCAGCACGATTCCCGACCAATATCTTTCGAACGGTTTTTGAATTTTCAAAATCGATTTAGAACTGCGGGCTAAAACGTGGACGAAAAATTTTTCACTTTTCTGTTATTTACAAAAAACGGCTTGGCTGATCGTCGTGCAAAATTGATAAACGCTAGACCTCATCGCGATACATCGAATGGCTTTTAAATTTTTGAAATCGGTCCAGCTGGTTTTGAGAAAACGTCGATTTACAGCAAAAAATCTGTTCACACACACGCACATACACACACACATAAACTTTTTCCTTTGATCTCATTCGATTCAGAATGGCTTGAAACGTCGAGAATACATAAAATTAGCGAATCGGATTTTTTGATGAAAACATAAACTTCTCCTTCCGGAAGTTAAAATAAAAATGAAATGAAAGTTTAAGAAACGGAACTGATTCAAGAAGTCAACATTATTACTCATAATGTAATATATTATCATTTGATTTTATATTTTATTAGATCTGGGTTAGGAGACGACCGATTTACTGTATACGACAATGAGCCTGAAACTCGACAATCCAGAATATTCGATGTATTCGAATCAGATTTCTACGGAGATACAACTGATGATGGTGAATTAGAACTTGGTGAAGATTTTGGTGACGATGGAGGAGGCAATGAAGTAACTCGTGAAATGGAAGATATATTCTCAAAAGGAATTCGAGGATTGCTTACATCCTACATGCAAAGAGCTTTACAACCGGCAATTAAAGAAACATTGATGTCCAGCATGGGGTACACTATATCTTACGGTTAGAAAGTGTATGAGCAAGTAGTAAAATTCATTACGATTGTTTATATATAGTGTTTTCTGAACAATATATCTCTGCCTCAAGGATAAATTATAAGCTAATTATTAAAGGTAAATTAACCAGAAAATTCGTCCATTATTATACGAATTGCTGTATGTATTTCCAATTCAGAAAATGTAAAACTAAAGCTTATGATCATTAAATTCAAACTAAAATGAGCAAACATTTTAGAAAAAAATCTCTTAATGAAATTTAACACCTTCGAAGATTGTAATTGAAAACCATTTATGTAAAAGCTACATGCAATCTTTATAATATAATATTATATAAATTTATGTATAAAGATATTATATAAGGATATTATGAAGAACAGGATAAAAAAATCTCTTCGTGTTAGAGCGTAGGACATTATATATATTTAAGTATAGATAATATATTATATAATAATATATTTCAAAACCAAATATATAAATTAAAATTATTATTAAAATAGTGACTTAAGTAATACATACAGTTTATAAATAAATATTGAAATTGAATGTTGGATCACTCATAGAAATAATTTCAAATATGTGGTCACACTCACCTCTTATATATAATTTCAAATTTCAAGTCAAAATTTCTGCATGTTTATTGAGTTGTTACTAGTTTTGATTGCATTGTTTGGGATATAGAGCTAATTATAATATTTATTTTAAAACGTAATAAATATAAATATTTTCTGTTTATTTAGACTTTTTATGAAATCCCTATTCCTTAGCAATATAAAAACATACTATAATAAAAAAAAAACAAAAACAATAATAATTATACACAAACACAAGAAAACATTTTCAAACAAAAGTATCACACGTCGCCATCGATAGATTTGCGCACAGGTGAATATATTGCTAGAATAAATTCATAAGTAAAAAAATTTAAAGTTGTTCCTATCATGGATTTAATAGCGGATAACATAAATCCTTTGTAATAGCCGGATACGCCTTCTTTTCGAAATATTATCTTCAAACAGTGCCAAAATCCTGCACAGACGTAGAAGGATCCAGTGGGAACACTGAGGAAGGAAAACAGGATGAGGAAAAGGATAGGAATATAAATTAATTTACAAAATGGTATTAACTAGATAATTAATCAATAATGCTTAAGTAGCAAGCAAAATATGAGTTCGATTAAAATTTCGATACCTTATTTATTGAAATTTAATAAAAATATATACATTTACGATATACATATATATATAGTTACGTAAATGTTACGAACTTTGGGGTCAATTTTGTAAACTAGACGATAACATTGCGTTGTTATAGCAACGTTCTGTTGTTCTTGTTTCTTGTTACTAAAAATTGTAAAAAGCTATCTATTTGTTGTGCGATCAAACGTTTTACGCACAAAACCACATCAAAAATCTGCATTTGCTCAAGTTAACCTTTTTATTTCTTTTCAAATATCTCTTATTATTTCATCTTATTCTTTGTAATTAAATAACATTTATACATTCTATATTATGTAGTAAGGTGTTATTAAGTGCATTATTAATTTTACTATATATTATATTTATGCATATTAATTGTTATCCATAATAAATAATTGTATTTTTGAGTCCTCTTAGAAAAAATCTGTGGGCTATATATTTAAAAATAAATAAATAAATAATATAATGAGCATCACGAAGATGCAGTTATAACATTGTATTTTTTGACGTTTGTGCGTTTTCTAGATTGTAACAAAAAATAGATAGCATTTTTACAGTCTTTAGTACCAAGAAACAAGTATAACATAGCGTTGCCATAACAACGCTGTGTTATCTTCTATTTGAAGGCTAAATGCTGAAGGAAAAAAAACTATAGCAAATCAAATTGACTAAAGTGAAAATTCGTTTCAGTTCTTTAAAACAGTTTGAAGAAAGTTTATCATTTCCAACATATGCAGAATAATCATATTCCATATTGTAAACTTTTTATGGTGTATTATCAATTTGACGAAAAAATAGTTCAAAATGCATCAAATTTGGAATGATTATGCTTCAAGTATTGAAATATTTCACATGGCAAAAATCATATTTGGAATATAAATATGCAATTTAAAACATAGGATTTTCATTATTACTAAATAAATTCTGTTCATATGACTTATACAATAAATTCAAAATCCTACCTTGCCACGAGTGACGAACCCTGAACTTGAAGCATTCTCCTAATCAGTTCCAAGGGATAGAGGACTGTTTTGGACAGTGAACCTGCACAAGCTCCTGCACATGCCGCACTGGCCGACTCGTTCATGCATTTCATGTTTATGAAACAATCGTAGAAAACTCTGAAACAATATAATAAAGCACATATAGCAATTGAATATTTAAAGCTCCAAAGCATATTTTATGTAGTTTTATAAGCTATACATCAATGTTCTTGAGTCAAAAAATAAGACCCCATTAAATACTAGAGCATCTTAATAACTGCTATTGATGAACCTCAAGGTCTATCGAACATAAATTGTGATATTATTTTTTTTATTTATTACATTATTTATCACATTATTCGACAAAATGATCGAAACAGTAAATTCAGTCCATCTTATTCAACTGTGCCAAAAAAAGTACTGTTTTATTTTTTTTTTTATAATGTAAAGCCCGGTACGACGCCAGTTTTTCTTGTAACAGGATTTCTGTCAAGTTTTCTGGTAAGGTGAGCCAGTATTTTGCGCCAGATTTTCACTTATTTTATGATTAATAAATAATAATAGTTTTGTGCATTTTCAAATAGATTATTATAAATATATACTGTGAATTTCACAATTCATATTTTATAGGCCTAAAATGCACAAATGCTTATAAGGTAACATATATGCATCGTATCCGATTAGAATGAGTCCATAAGATGATTTAAGCTCATATTTCTAAGAAATAAATAAAAAAAATATAAAATAGTGCAGTTTAACATAACAATTATTGATTTTTATAATCAGTATCGCATAGTTAATTAAAATCAGTAAATCTTTACCAGATAATTAATATTGATATAAAAATATTAAAAAGGTTATGAAAAGTTTAGTAAAAGTTTTATGTATTTGAATATTTTTAAATTACCAAACCGCGTTTCTCAAAAACTAATCATTTTTTCACATCTCTATATATACACAATAGCAGTTC